TATATCTCTCTCTCTTATTTAGTATGGTGTGTGTAGTTGCAATATCCACCAGACATATATCGTCATGGTTGTCCGTTATGTGAGACATATATCTTTATGGTTGTCCATTATGTGAACGAAAAAATCCATTTTCTACAATTTGTATTTTCGTGATTGTGAATTTCTTATAGCTAATTAAAAACCATCATATAATCATATAAAAAACACATAAGTGTGTGATATTTTGCAAAAATAAATGATATAATTCAAACTAATACATCTTATTTATAAATTTATAAATTTATCTTGAGGTTATTTCATTGGTAACATCGATAAATTGCCATCTTAAGAAACAAAATTTGTTTCTATCTTTTTCCCTTTGTTCTTGGGAGATTTTTGTTAAAGCTCCATGCATGATGAGGTGTTTCTTCATGCGAAAGGTATGGGCCCATTTATTCTTGCCTCCAAAACTACAGCAAATACTTGTCATAAAATACTTGTCATAGCTCCTTTAGCTTTTCCATTTTTTTTTCAATGTCATTCATATCTCACTTATCATGTCAGTCTGGTGTTCTTTTGTGATTTTAAAATGAAATCACCATAATATTTTCCTCAACCACATCCATAAATATATCCACAACTACACTATATCCATGGCCTCCACGACAATCGCGAACACGATCACAGTCATTAGGATTATGAGCTATCAAAAAGAGAATAAAGTTGAACCAGACCGGCTTTTTGATATTAGGATTTTGATACCAAGAAGCTCGTTTAAATGGTTCAAATTTATTGTATTACCACTCAAATATTAAAAAAAACATACAAAATCTATAAAACTATATTTTCTATCTTTTACTTATCAAATAATTAAGCAACATTTGTTTTTGTTTGTTTTTTTGCTTTTGATAGATCGTAGGTGGACTACAAAATGTGGCTGGGTTAAACAAGGATGAAGGATGCCTTTATGCAACGGTTGACCTAGAAAAAGCTCGAGTGGGCCGAACCCGGATGCTGGAACACGACTCAAACCCACGATGGTACGAGTCATTCCACATCTACTGTGGCCACATGGCTTCCAATGTCATCTTTACGGTCAAAGAAGATGACCCAATAAGCGCAACTTTAATTGGCCGTGCTTACATCCCAGTTATCAAAGTCCTTAAGGAAGATGTAATTGATGAATGGCTCGAAATTTTGGATGAGGATGGCAAAACGATCCGTGGGGATTCGAAAATCCACGTAAAGGTACAATTCTTTCCAGTCGAACGGGAATACCAATGGTCTCGAGGGATACAAAGCGTAAAATTCCCTGGGGTACCCTTCACGTACTTTCCACAAAGAAACGGATGTAGGGTTACACTTTATCAAGATGCGCACTTACCCGATAATTTTACCCCAAAAATACCATTAAGCGGAGACAAGTACTACGAACCACATCGATGTTGGGAGGACATTTTTGATGCGATTACGAATGCGAAACACTTGATTTATATAGCGGGGTGGTCCGTTTACACGGAAATCACTTTAATTAGGGATTTAAGAAGGCCGAGGCCCGACATGGATATGACACTTGGTGAATTGCTAAAGAAAAAGGCGAGTGAGGGTGTTCGGGTGTTGATGCTTGTTTGGGATGACCGAACTTCTGAAGGGCTGATTGAAAATGGGCTCATGGCAACCCACGACGAGGACACAGGGAAATACTTTAGTGACTCGGAAGTAAATTGTGTATTGTGTCCTCGTAACCCGGATGATGGACATAGTCTTGTTGAAAACATCGAGATTTCCTTGATATTCACTCATCATCAAAAGATTGTGGTTGTCGATGCTCCATTACCTAATAACCATGAGAAGAGGCGCATAGTGAGTTTTATAGGCGGAATCGATCTCTGCGATGGACGGTACGATACACCATTCCATTCCCTTTTCCGAACACTTGATTCCGCCCACCATGATGATTTCCACCAACCTAATTTCCCTAATGCATCAGTGGAGAAAGGTGGACCTCGGGAACCCTGGCATGACATCCATTGCAAGCTTGAAGGTCCAATCGCGTGGGATGTGTTATTTAATTTTGAGCAGCGGTGGCTCAAGCAAGGAGGAGAGGATTTACTGAACGATGTAAATGATCTTAGTCAAGTCATAATCCCTCCGTCGCCTGTCTTGTTACCAGATGACCAGGAGAGATGGAACGTTCAGTTGTTCCGGTCAATTGATGGTGGTGCTGCCTTTGGGTTCCCTGATAAACCCGAGGATGCAGCACGTGTTGGGTTGATAAGCGGAAAAGATAGCATTATTGACAGGAGCATTCAAGACGCGTACATCAATGCCATCCGCCGAGCAAAAAACTTCATCTACATGGAAAACCAGTACTTTCTAGGAAGCTCATTCGACTGGAACTCAAAGGACATTAAAGATGAAGACATCAACGCCTTACATCTAATCCCGAAAGAACTGTCACGTAAAATCGTGAGCAAAATCGAAGCTGGAGAGGACTTCCGGGTGTACGTAGTCCTGCCAATGTGGCCGGAGGGTGAGCCAGAGAGTGCATCGGTGCAAGCCATACTAGGCTGGCAAAGAAGAACGATGCAGTTGATGTATAGTGATATCGTGCTGGCTCTGAAAGTGAAACACATCGTGGCAAACCCCAGGGATTATTTGACATTCTTTTGCCTCGGCAACCGGGAAATCAAGAAACCTGGCGAATATATACCGCCGGAGAAGCCTGACAAGGATAGTAATTACCAGCGAGCTCAAGAAGCACGACGGTACATGATCTACGTACATGCCAAGATGATGATCGGTAAGTGATACTAATCTTCTCACTCATACTCTTTTTTCACTTTTTAATGCGAGAAATATTGGTTATTTTGCAGTTGATGACGAGTACATAATCGTCGGATCAGCGAATATCAACCAGAGATCGCTGGACGGAGCTCGAGATACTGAGATAGCAATGGGGGCGTTTCAGCCGTGTCATCTATCAAAAAGACAGCCGGCGAGGGGTCAGATTCATGGGTTTAGGATGTCGTTGTGGTACGAGCATATGGGGCTTCTTGACGACTCTTTTTCATATCCGGAGCGCTTGGATTGCATCCGAAAGGTGAACCAGATATCGGTGAAGTACTGGGATCTTTTTAGTTCTGAGACGTTCGACCATGATCTGCCGGGGCACCTACTAAGTTACCCTATCCGAGTTATGGACGAGGGAGAGGTGACGGAGCTGCCGGGGTTTGAGTACTTCCCGGACACGAATGCTAGGGTTCTGGGTACCTATGTGGGTTACTTGCCTCCGATTCTAACTACTTGAGAAAAATGGGGTATAGGACTGGGGTGTTGTTGCGAATGGTGTATAAGAAAGAGACTAAAATACCCTTTCCTGAAATGGTTCATTAAACATATAAAGTGCGACGATTGCCATGTGTCTATTCCTGTTTATGGTTTGTTTTTTCTTTGTAATTTTTACTTTTCATGTTTTAAGTTATTACGAGTGTGATGAGTTCCAATTATTGTTTTATGTAATAATATGTATGTTTGAAATTGAAATAAAACAATTAATGAATATGAGTTTGAGTTTGAGTTTAAATGTTCTTCCTTAATTATTTTTTAAAATATTCCAGTTTCTTTAAAGATTTACTAATTTTTAAAAATTAACTGTTTTTTTTAAAAAAAATTGTAGCTTTTTAAAAAAATTCACGTTTTCTAAATTTTTTTTTTAAAAAATGCATTTTTTTTAAAAAAATGCATTTTTTTAAAAAAAATAAAAAATTATTATTTTTATAAGAAAAAACAAATCAAAAAATTTAAAATATTATGTTAATTTTTAGATATTTTTAATAATATTTTCAATAACACAAAAAATTAAACATGAAATTAGATTGGTAAGATGACGATCATGTCTTTTAATGAATTAAAATTGATTTAACGCTCCACTTTTAGTTCTCAGGTTCTAATGAATGTATAAGTTCTCAACGGATCGAATCATAATGCATATATATATATATATATATATATATATATATTATATATATATATATATATATATAAGATAACATATGCATTACGGTTCGATTTGAGACAACAAACAATGAAGCTGAGTACGAAACATTGCTAGCAGGATTAAAATTGGCAAACAAAGTTGGAGCAAAAAGTTTGAAAGTTAGGACTGATTCGATATTGGTCACGAACCAAATAAACGGGGTATACGACACCAAGAATGAAGAAATACATGGCAGCAGTCAATGAATGATCGTATCTTTTAACACCTTGAAAATCGAGCAAGTCAAAAGAAGTGAGAACAAATGGGTAGATGCACTCAGAAAATTGGCAGCCACAACATACAACCACTTATCCGAAAAAGTGTTGGTTGAAATACTGAAAACAAGAAGTATAGACGAAAAGGAGGTAGATGCCATCGCGACAGAAGACAAGGGCTAGATGACTCATTTATACGACTACCTACTACACAACTTGTTGTCGGGTGACCAGAATGAAGCACGAAAGGTAAAAATAAAAGCTCCCCAATTCATCGTAAAGAACGAACAACTATACAAAAGAGGATACCTCATGTCATGGTTACGCTGCGTAACGGCGTTAGAGGGAGCAAACATCATGAAAGAAACACACAAAGGTGAAACAGGAGCACATGAAGGGGAAAGGGCACTAACTGGAAAGTTGCTACGCATGGGCCTCTATTGGCCAACCATGCACAAAGAGGTAGAAGAACTAACGAAAAGTTGCGTAGAATGTCAAACCTTCTTTCCAACACAACGGTTACCATCCACACCACTCACAAGTATTTTTAGCCCATGGTCGTTCCATCAGTGGGGCATCGACATTGTAGGGTCACTCCCAGTAGCTCCAAGAAGGGTCAAATTCCTAGTAGTCATTGTGGACAACTTTATAAAATGGATCGAGGCGGAGCCCGTTGCTAATATCACAGGGAGGGCCATGATTAAGTTCATGTGGAAAAATATCTTGACATGTTTCGGAACCCCTACAACCCTAATCAGCGACAACAGGTTACAGTTCACCCAAAACGCATTTCGAGGATGGTGTCAAGACAAACACATAGAGCATCGTTTTACCTCAGTGTCTCACCCACATACAAATGGACAGACATAAATATAAAACAAAACGCTAGTGAATGGGATCAAGAAGCGTTTGGGAAAAGCTAAAGGAAATTGGGTTCAGGAGATCCCTGGTGTCCTATGGTCCTATAGAACAACGCCATGCTTTAGCACAAAAGAAACGCCTTTCAACCTTGTTTTTGGCACATAAGCAGTGTTACCTATAGAAATACTCATGGGATCAATACGAACAATAAGGTTCAGCCAGGAAGCATCAGATAAATATTTGCACCACAACTTGGATGTGCTTGACGAAAAACGAGAAAGAGCCCAACTAAACCATGCATCATACAAATCTCAAGTGGAAAGCTACTACAACAAATGAATGCAAGTGCAAGACATGAAAGTTGGGGACTTGGTGCTAAGGGAAAACGAAGTCACTCATAGCGAGCCAAGGGGAAAGCTAGGCCCAACATGGGAAGGCCCATACAGGATAAAAAACACTCACCGCAATGGATCTTATGAATTGGAAACAATGGAGGGGTGACTCATACCAAGAACTTGGCACATCCAGCACTTAAGGAATTTTTTTGTGTAAAAAAAAAAGAGAAAGGAAGGAGAAGAGATGGGGCATAGCCAAAGAACGAGTAATATCGTCTTTTTTTTCTTTTTGTAATAAGTCAAGTAGTAATGAATTAAAAACCTAGGGCTGATCACCCTAGGTAATTATCTTGCTCATATCATAATTCTCTTTTCCTTTTCCCATCATTATTTTGGCTTAAAGGATTGTAACCTTTGCCAAGAAAGAGTTGCATGGTTCAAATACCCAACTCGACATAGCGGAAAGCAGTTCAACATTGCCTTGGCTTAAAGGATTGCAACCTTTGCCAAGAAAGAGTTGTATGGTTCAAATAACCAACTCAACATAGTGGCAAGCAATTTAGCCTTTCCTTGGCTCAACGAATTGCAACATTTTCCAAAAAAGAGTTGTATGGTTCATATACCCGACTCGACATAGTGGCAAGTAGTTTAGCCTTTCCTTGGCTCAAAGGATTGCAACCTTTGTCAATAAAGAGTTGCATGGTTCAAATACCCAACTCGACATAGCGACAAACAGTTCAGCGTTGCCTTGGATCAAAGGATTCCAACCTTTGCCAAGAAAGAGTTGCATGGTTCAAATACCCAACTCAACATAGCGGCAAGCTGTCCAGCCTTGCCGTGGCTCAAAGGATTGCAACATTTGCTAAGAAAAAGTTGAATGGTTCAAATACCCAACTCGACACCGCGACAAGCGATTTAGCCTTGCCTTGGCTCAAAGGATTGCAACCTTCTCTTAGAAAGAGTTGTATGGTTCAAATACCCAACTCAATGCAGCAGAAGGCAATTTAACCTTGCCTCGACTCAAAGGAATTGCAACTTTTGCCAAAGAAAGAAGTTATATGAATCAAACACAATAAGCACGCAAAAGAGTGAGCAAACAACATACATAGCAAGAAAAAATAGAAATTAATTGTTCTGGTACACGCCAAAACCAGGCAAACCTAATCCACGCAGGGCCAACAAAAAAAGCAAATATCCATTAACACCCATTACAGGGCAGCACTAAGTCTCAAAAGCAAGAAAGGTCATTCATTTACCAGCTCCTCCATTCAAACTTGTGATCTTGGCATTGCTGCTAGGACCTTCTCCTCTATGATCATCATCTGCACACAACTGGCGAAGGCCGTCAATATTAAGGGTGCCCAACTTCATCATGGAAGCATAGTTACAAGAAATAAACACGTCAATCACATCAACCATCTCCCTTGAGTGGCTAGAGGTGGAACTGGAAGCACTAGGATCAAACGTTCCAACGACCACCACCGTACGCAACGCTTCTCTGCCAGACTCCTCACCAGCAACGAAGCACATGTTATTGATGCGTCCCATACCCTGCAAAAAATCTGGAAGCTCAATAATTTAATCAATAATTCTCACCATTCCAACCTTGACCAGCAAAACTAAATCACTCCCAAGGCGAGACAACTCTGCCTCACGATCAAGTGGCAACTTCTCCTTATCCAACAGATCTCTCTCCAGACTCTCCACACGAATGTTCAAGTCCTCATTCTGCTGGAGGGTACCATAAAGCTTTGAATCTACTTGAGCACAATGCTCCTCAAGGGACATTTTCTCGCCAACCAGCAACTCCAATTGTTGGCGAGAAGACTCCACTGAGGATTCCAGAGAAGCGATGTGCTGGTGGAGACCCCTCTCATTTGCATAAAGCTTGACAGCCACACTTTTGAGATGAGGAATGCGGTGAGCCCCTGCAGTAAGGAAGAAGGTGCTTTGAGCGGAAGCAAATTCCATAAAGTTAATTGTTTGGTCGTCGGTAAAAGCTTCCATCTCGGAGATGGTCCCCTTAGGGAAGATGTGGCGCGAAAACTCAACAACGACCTCTTGTTGGGAGAGGCGAGACTCATCGGTGAGATTCCATTTGGGAATGAAGAGATTGATTGAAGGAAGATTCTTGCCTTGAAAACTGGTAATAAGGTCATTATAGTCAGATGTCTTTGAAACAACAAGAGACTTACTTCTATGGACCGGTGGTTGGCTCTACTGGGCCAGTCCCAATGGAACCTTTGTTTATGATGGGCTGCTTAGGCTATAACATCCCGTTATTTTCTGTTTGTAAAGTCAACCCTAGTCAACCAAAGTCAAACTTGGGTCAACTAAAGTCTTCTTTATTGTTTTGGGTTTTATTAAGGTTAAAATAATAATCTTTGTTTGTTAAAAATCCTTAAAATCATTGTGGTTGAAATAAGAAGGGAAATGCTTAAAAACCGAGAACATTCACATCCTATTCCCTTAGGACCGCAAATCCTCTGACCGCAAACGAGGGCTGTGAACGTGCGAGCCGTGAACCTCGGACCGTAAATGCCTTCGGCCGTGAACCGAGGCCGCAAACCACAAACCGCCTTCGGCCGTGAACCCCTCGGGCCGAGAACCCTCGCATATATAAGCAATTCAGTCGAATTTTCTTCACTTTTTACACTTTCAAACACCATTCCAAGTCTTTTTCTCTCAAGTATCATCAGCCAAGAACACGAAGAACAACCTCTCTCCTCAAGAACATGCTATATTCATCCTTTCTCATCATATTCAAGTGTTAAATCACTAGTTCTTCATAAGATCTAATAGGTATCACTTCTTGATCTTGTTATCATTTCAAGAACATCATTCACTCTTCTTATACTAGGCTGAAAATCATTTGATTTCACTAGTCTTCACGAAGAACACGAAGAACACGCGAAGAACACGAAGAACAACCACCTGAAAACCTTTGAATCTTCTTAGAAACTGGTCTAGGATCATCAAGTGTTCTTCAATCATTCAAGAACATTGGGTCGTGAACCCTTCAAGCTAGGGTCGTGAACCCTTCACTCCTGGCTGTGAACACCTATCAGCTTCCATTTTAGTTTCTAACACTCCAATTTGTAAGTTATACTTACAAATTAGTCCAATTTCCAATCATTCCTATGATTATATTAGCTAATTGGATGCATATATGTTATACAAATTACATATATGCAGCTTTCAAATACATGTTAAGAATACTAATTCAGGAGTATACAATCAATCATTATTTCAGAATGATTGGGTTTTCACTTATATTATACACGTAACGTCTATATGCGTTTTATGAGTCAATTGATTCAGGTTGTTTAATTCATTTAAACAACATAGTTAAAGTCCTGACATTATAACCAGAATCTCCAGTCGGGGATCGAAACAAGTGTGTATAGATCTATATTGGGATTGACAACCCCACACTCAGACTGCTAGCTACAGCCAGGCATACACGCCTACGAGTGACAGTTGTTATCAACAGCTTTTAATGCCTTCAAAGCGTTGTTTCAATCCATCTAGTCTCAGTATGGTTATAATAACTCATTAAAAAGATATTAACAATACGGTTAGTGTATAATTAACTAAACATGAGTACATTTTCAAAGTACCAGTTTACCAAAATACAGTTTATAGTATTACATCTCAGTATTCAATAACAGCTGGTGAAGCCAGACACACTCACTTTTACAAATTATACAAAAGAGTACAAATACAGAACACTGGTTTACAAACAAAACAGTTTTATGTGATTAAAACTACTTTTCATATACAGCAGAAAATATAGGATTTTCTGGATCAGTTTACATATTCAAGAAACAGAAACATACTTTCAAACATAAATACTTATGCACTCACTCAACTTTATGTTGATACTCTCTTTTCAAATTACTTGTATTCTCAGGGAATCAGTAGACAGGTACTCCCCGAGCTTTTGAGAAGATGGAGCTATTTTTGAGTCATGTCTTCTTCTTTTGTATAACTATTTTGATGTCGATATACATTGATTGTGTTGGATTAGTGTCTAAGCCCGTAACCATATTTGGTAAATACTTGACCCGGTTGTGCATGGTCCTTTTGGGTTGCCTTCACCAAAGCAACTTGACTGGAGAAATTAAATAGAGAGAGAGGTTATTATGATTTATTAATATGTTATAAGAATAATATATTAAAAGAAAAATCATATTTGATTAATTAATATTGGTCAATAATGAATTAGGAATTAATTTTGTGATCAAGTGTAATTAATTAAACTAGAGGGGCTGAATTGTAATTATGTGATAGTTGCAAAATAGGACAATGGTTATCCTTGTTAAAGGATGGACGAATTCAAGGATAAGGATATCCTTAAAATCGTCCAAGGTCCAAGAGATAAGGGTTTTCAAGGCTTATCTTGTGGTTGCTTGGTGGGCAAGTAACTGGATAAGGATAAGGACTGAAACCCTAATCCCAACCCTATATAAAGACACCTAAGGCCTTAGGATTTCGTCCACTTGATCCCTAGAGCATCTAAGGACGATTTCTACCTCCTCCCTTCTCTCTCTATAGCCTCTCCAATTGCTTGTGGTGTTTGTGAGCCATTAGAGGCACTACACTTGTGGTGCTTGCTTTCAAGACTAAGGGTTTGAAGATTTAAGTTGTTATTGCAATATAACAACAAGAGGTATGTGATCTAACCTTATATATGAATTTCGAAAATAGCATGCTACATTAGGGTTTTATCCATGTGTTCATAATGTTGTGTATCTAATAGTGAAAACATAGATCCAAATTAGGGTTGCATGCACACATAGGATTGTTTGTACAAAACCTATCAGTGGTATCAGAGAATAGGTTAACTTGTTTTCAATTAGTATTATTCAATTGTATGAACTTGACAAATTAGGGTTTATAGCCAATAAACCCTAGGAGGCCATAGATTTCGAGATTAGGGTTTCCTAACCCTAATTTCCGAAAATCTTGAAAGGGTTTTTGAATCCTTTCCTTTTAATCCAAGATTTCGAAATCTAGGGTTTGCAAACCCTTAGATTTCGAAATTTGCCTCCTTCCCCAAGATAAGATCCTAAATTTTAGGGATTTGGATAATCCCATATCTTGTAATTATCCTTTAATAGTTAAATATGGTAATTAAAGATCATGAATTATCCCATCCCTATTTTCGAAATTTATAGAGGGATTTAAGGGATTAGGATAACTTAAATGTTTAAATGGTAATTATCCATATGATTTAGATAATCCCTTATGATTTGATAATTTAAATTAATAGTTTAATTTAAGATAATTATTAAATCAAGAGTTTTAATATTTAAAATTTTAATGGTATTAAATTTTGAAAATTTTAAATTGAAGATTAAAACCCTAGTATTTCGAAATGTTTAAAATACACCCTATACTATTATATTATTACAAGCTTAATAAATATATATGTATAATTAAAATGCTAGTCTTACCGTTAGTAGGCCTCATTCACGAAGCCGGTCTATAAGGTGGGTATAAGGTTGCTGCCTATAAAATGACGCTTAATGGGTGTACACTCACACCCACCGCTTGCTTGACTGGTGGAGGGTCGTTAGCCGAACGGGTAGGATAGGGCAACCTCACCTCCTCATTAAAAGTATAATATAAGAATACAAAGTAACTACATGTTTTTCAAAATTCCCAATCCTAGTTACTTTAGGAAAAGTGAATTGATGCAATCCCATGAAATTACACTTTGCACCCTTGCTAAGAAGTTGGTGGAGCGTGCGTGGTTTACCGGCACACAAATTGGTTCTAAGCAAAGGTGGTAAAGGGTGATTCATTGTTTATCATAATTCGGTGGAGCGTGTGTGGTTTACCGGCACATCGAATAGGTGATTGTTACAATGAAGGCACCGTGTAGATTTGCATGGTTATTCACACCCACTTTGTGATCCTCGGTATCCCAGTCACAAACGAGAGGGGCATATCGAGATTTAAACATGCCATTGAAAAGTTCAATGAATCTCATCGAAACCTAGGAATTCTCAATACATTTAGAACTTAAGGTTATGTTTTCATAGTGGAGAATTAGTGAATCGTCATTCACTTACCTTCAAATTAATTGCATGTTGGATTACGGCATCCCTTTTCTAATGTGTGAATAATGTTGTTGGGTCCTAGCCCTAATTTTTCATGTTGGGTGATAATTAGGGATTCAAATTCTAATCTATCTTTGTCCTTTCTATTTGTAGATGTCGAATACGAACAACGCTGCTGCGAGTTCATTCACATTGATGAGCCTTTGCCAAAAGGTGACTTTCGATGGAACGAACTTTAGCGAATGGATAAGATACATTCGCACAATTGCTCGCTACGAGGACAAGGAGTATGTCCTTGATGAGAAGCTCGAGAAGATCAATCCAGAAATCGCTACTCCGGCTGAAATGACTGCTTTTGAGACTCATGAACGTGATGCAACGAAGGTTCATTGCATCATGATAGCCACAATGAACTCAGAATTCCAAAAGTCCTATGAGGACATGTATCCGTACGAAATGCACCAAGACTTATTGGAGAGATACCATCAAAACGCGAGGCAGGAACGTTATGAGATCTTCACTAACATGATCTCCGCTAAGATGGGTCATGGAGAATCTCTAACCGTGCATCTGCAAAAGATGCAAAGGTATGTCGATCGTCTTCGCAAGTTGAATGTCGACTTTGGGGAAGATTTGGCTATCGACATGGTGCTTCATTCCTTACCTCCGTGTTACAACCAATTTAGGATGACCTACCACATGAACAAGGAAGAGGTCACCCTAAGTAAGCTCCAAGGTCTCCTTAGGGTTGCTGAGAGCAACCTCAAGGACAAGTCTGTTGCACCCACTCCCAATCCACCCGCTGCTCCTGTTTTGGCCATTGGGCAAGGAAGAGGAAAGAAGAGGAAGGCTTCGTCTAAGAACCATCGCAAGGTTAAGTCCCGAGATGGTGCCTCTTCTAGTGGGACCAAAGTTGATCCTGCTAAACCCTGTCCTAAC